GATTCTTAAATGCTCTTGAGAAGTTTTTGCTGATAAAGGAGGAGGTTGTTTGTGTCACTGTTTTAATCCTGCTGACATCATGACCCTGAGAAGATTAGTATTTATCTGGCACACTGAGACCCCAAGGTGAGGCCACCTATGAGCACACCTGGCCACTCCAAGGGCTGGGGGGTCAGTCAGTATCTCTTAGCCCATCGTGAGCCGTGGCTTGTCAGGTGGGAAGCTAAGTTTGCAAGGCCATTTGCTGTGTGTGCATGTTGTTGGGGTTGAGGAGGGCACGTTTTGGGGGTTGCGTGAAGTTTTCTTGCAATCTGTGCAAACACCATTCTTGTCAAGCAAGTGCTCATGCTTGAGTAACACTTCCTTCCCACAAAGAATGAACAAGTGGCCTCAAGTGCCCGGGTGCCCGAGCTGCTGCTGTCAGTGACTCCAGTTGAGCAAGACGAGCTGCTACTAACACCGAGCTAAGGGTCCAGCTCCTCCCATGTGCACTGTGAAGCTGCATGGTGCAGGGCTGACTGCAGAGCCCAGCACAGAGCAATGGGCACTCACAGAACAGCAGACAACTAAGCAGAAAAAGCTGGGGGTTGGCGAGGGGTGGTGCGCAGCTGAATGTGTGGTGCATTGCCCCCTCTAGTTGAGTGAAGAAAGGTTTTGTGTGGGAAATGAGCTCAGTGGCAGGAAGGATGAGCAAGCAGATGGGACAGCCTTCTGAGAAGGGAAAAGGTAGCTCTTGTTTCACCCTTGGCATCAGGTCTACGTAGCTGGCATTGGGTCCTGCTTCCTCTAGGGGATATGGTTCTTAATTTCCTTTGAGTGACCAGTGAAAGTCGCAGAGAGAAACACATACATAAATACACAAGATTGCAAGGGGTCTGTGGAATGGGTTGTACTCAATCACACATGCATGCTTGGGCTCTGGACTCGACTGCCTAGACTCAAAATCTGACTCTGAGACTGAGCCAACTGTAAGCCACAACATGGCCTCTTTTAACCTTTCCTCTTCTGCAAAATGATAACAATTTTTTTCATGGGGTCACTGTGAGGTTAAATGATTATGGACAGAGCTCTTGGTGCAGTGCTGCCATAATGTCCATGATCATGATCATCTTCAAGACCTTCATAAAGGAGCTGGCATGAGAACCTTAGATTTCTACCCTGTATGATGTACTTTGAGTGCCATTAGCCCTTTGAAACATCAGATAACTCAGGAAAGGGTGGGTATGGAATTCCGATAATTAGAATGGTCGATTGTGGCACCCTTGTTAAGAGTTTCAAGAACTTCGCCCCTTCCTTTCACATCTCAGTAGAAGAGTAAACGTCAGCTCTGCCATGTGGGAAGCTAAAGGTCGGTCCACCACGGCTTTCCTTTTGCTCTCTCTGTGCCATCGCAACCTCTGCCCTGCTCCACAGCTAAGTGTAGGGAGGGACATCTCGCCTCCTTTCCTTCTGAGCCATAATTACTAAGTTCACATGAACTGATGCAGCCCACCCCTCTAGGACTCTGCTTCCCTTTCTTCCTGGGACGTGTTACCTGACTCTAAAGACTTAGCTTAGCTGTCAAAGCAGCTGAAGGTCCTTGTGAATAAGTGTTCCCTGTGCCCCAGGGGCCCCAACTCCTCCAGACACCCTGTGCTTTCCGTTTTTCTTCTCATTGCCATACTTCTTCTTTGCCCTCATCTGGGATGCTTACAATGAGCACTGGTGAATAACTATTCCCTCATCTAAATCTAGGGAAATATTCCAAAGCAGAGGGCTGGAGGTTGAAGAGGAATCTCTGGATTCTGAGGATTAGTAGGAGAAATTCACTTTTCCTTAGAAGGACCTCATTAGCTTCATGCTGTCTGGAATCTACAAATGCCCCCCATAATACCTTGAAATAATATTTGATGCCCTGATTGATTCATTCCCCTGCCCCCCCCAACACACACACACACACACACACACACACACACACACACACACACACTCACACACACACACACACACACACACCCTGCTCTAAACTCTGCTTTGCAACCAACTCTTTAAAGAAGGGCACTTTTTCATAGACAAGCCACAAATCACCTGGCTTTACAAAATTGCCTGAAATTGTTAAAAAAAAATAATGTTTGGCCCCACTACCCCCATCATGGTCCCATGGCCAAGCTGTAGGATCTTGGGAGAGTGATGAACCTTTTCTGAGATTCCATTTTCTCATCTGTGCAAACTCTAACTCCCTGGCAGGTTTCCTGGAAGAGCCACATGAAGTCCTTGTCAAGGGGCCCAGCTCCCAACAGCCACTGAAGCTTTTGTCCTTGCTGACACCTCACAGGTCTAAGAGATCTTCTGGAAGTGTTTGATAAACTGGGAGGAGCTATACAAACACACAGTGGTGTTACATAAAGTTGTCTCACTTCCAAGGTCTGTCTTTTCCTGCTTTCAAAAATGGAGAAACTCTGCTTTTGCTTTTGAAGAGTTGTCAGGCCCTATCACCAGAAGTGTAGCGGCTGTTTCCAGGCTCTGTTAGAAAACTCTGGAACGTTGGCCTCTGGTGTTCTAGAACTGCTGCCTATGAAATGCATGGTTCCTCTGTCTCTAGGAGAGGGGAAGGAATGTACACGAACCAACCAGAGCAGCATGTGTAAGTGTATCAGAGTGGTGGCTATTGGGTCAGACTCTTCCACACCTCGAGCACCTTACCTATGAATGACCTGGAAAAATAAAGGTTGGCACTTTTTCGGGGCCACGGGATGCCCGATCTCAAAATAATTTTCTTTTTTTATTGAATTCTGACTGCATATGGCTGTGGGGAGGGGGGGGGGGAGCAGGAGGACAGACGGATATTTCAAAAAAAAAGCCTATCTAACACTTTTCTTTTTTATAGCTAATGCCTTTCTTTTTTAAGAGCGATGCTATGGGAAACAATGGTTTATCAAGAGATGCTGTATCATGCTAGGGCGCTGAGACCTGGGTTCTGGACATTTCTCCCCTACTGAATCAATGACTTACCCTAGCTAGTTACTTCACCTTTTGGAGTCTCAGGTACCCTCAAGAATAAAGTTAAGGCTGTTGGGTCAGATAACGCCCCCTACACTCCCACACTCTTACTCATATAGGTTGTCTGGCTATGATGCCATGCGGCTTTGATTTACATTTACGTAAAGGAGAAGTGGGACAGTGAGTAGCAATTCCTCCCACTGTTGCCAAAGCTCTATTCTTGGACTTGGCCTGCCAGCGATCTTGAGTAACACCTCTCTGCTACACTCTGTGTCAAGTTGTCCTCCCTACTGTAGGGTCAGCATAGCCAAGACAACCCCAAACAAACATAGTCCCCTTTAACCTTTCAGTTGTGGAGCCCATTGAAGGTCAGGTGGCTGCTTGGAGCAGTGATGCTGATAGTAAGCTTCTAGTGCGGTCCCCAGATCAGGAGCATCCACATCACCCAAAATTGCTAGGAAGGCAGATGCTCAGGCCCTCACCCAGGCCGACTGAACCAGAAACTCTGGCACTGGCTCAGTCATCTGGCCTGTAACAAGCTCTCCAGGGGATTGTGAGGCTTGCTGGAGTTTGGGAACCACCGCCTTGAAGCATCTTGCTCTGGAAATCGCTGCATCAGAAGGTGGTCCAACACAACTTGGCATTTGTCCAATCAAGTGGGACTCATGCTTCCAGTTCTTTAGAAGCCCTTTTTTTCTCAGGTCCTAAGGCAGAACTAGGGCTCTGTGACAAGAAGTGACCTTGAAGAGTTAATGCACCTCAGACCTGGAGAATCTGGCCTAATAAGACCTCTTTGTTAGTGTGGTAGCCACTCCTCCCTACAGGAGCGGCTACCAGCAGGAAGTGGTATTGGCTTCTAATTTTTATATTGGGCACCTGACCAAGTAGTTAGAAGAAACCTAATGTAGTATTTCCACGAATTTCTGCAGGCCTGGACCGCAGAAAGCCTTCAAGTGCCTAAGGTCTACTGGTGGTTAAATGAACACTTAGCCATGATGCAGCACCATCGTGGCAGAGGCAACGCGATGGGTGTCTGTGTCCCTACCGTAGGTCTTGCCTCGATAACTGGTTGTGTGATTCTGAGAGATTTATTTCATCTGAAAAGGCCTCCATTGGCCTCACCTGTAAAATAGATATTAAACACAATCTCCAGGGCCTCTCTCACCTCCACTCACCATTTTTGTTCAATAATGATGCCTTGTAGTCGTCAAGATTTTGGAGTCAAGAATGGGGACTAGGGACTTCCAAATGGAAAGAGAGAGTAGGATATAGGCTGAACAGTGATGCAATAGCAATCCTACTCCTTCCAGGGCCTTGCTAAGCTGTGGGTAGTTGGAGCCAGGATTCTGCATTCTAATTTTGTGTTGACTGATTGACGAGAGAGAGAGAGAGAGAGAGAGAGAGAGAGAGAGAGAGAGAGAGAGAAAGGGGTGGGAGAGAGAGAGAGAGAGAGAGAGAGAGAGAGAGAGATCCACTTAATTATGCACACATTGATTGCTTCTTGTGTGTGCCCTGATGGAAGATCGAACCCGCAACCTTGGCGTATTGGGACACACAGAGCTACCAGGTCAAGGCCTGGATTCTGCATTCTAAATTCAACCTAGCTAGGTTTGTGCCTCAGTCTAGACTCTAGAGTGATTTTCCTTATTTGGTTTTTTAGTGATGTTCAATTCTGGAGGGGTCACTGGCCTCTGCTTATTCCAACCTTAAAGTTAGAACTTGAGTAACAATTAGAGTGGCTTCTCATTCTCTCACTCTCAATTCAGGGAGTGCTTTAACCTCTGCTTTTCTTTAGATCTTCCTTTTCCTGTTGCAATCTCAAGGATTCTGCCCCCAAAACAGATGCAAAGCCCTACCGACCCTCTTTTTTCCCCCAGAGGTATGAGCTCTACAAAGGGTTTTGCTTGTTAAATCTTAGCTTTCGTAGCTGATGGGCTTTTTTTTTTCCTTCCTCTTAAGCCCATTGCATAACAATCTCCTGTTTTAACCTTTTGCCAAATTCTACACTTCTCACTGTCTGAGGTTACTACGAGTGTTTGAACAGGTAACTTCTACCTTTGAACTTCTGTTGCAACAGGTTCAAAGTTTCCAGGGGAGCTGGTTGGCCACTCTCAGGACAGTACGCATTGCCTTCAGGTGTGGCCAGTCCTCAGTGCTGTGGAAAAGGCAGAGGTGCCTGCCGGCAGTGGCAGTGCTAAGCCCCTACAGCCAGCTGTGAGGGGCGCATTCCCTGCACCCAGGAAGTGAGCGGATCCTTCCAGGTAAGCAGCAGTAACTCTGCCTGCTCTAGAGTTTACATGTCTATGGGAGAGCAGGGATGGGAGGAAAGTGGGACATGTGTCCATTCTCAGCCTCAGGCACTTTCAACATGAAATTGCGTTTCGTTGAGTAGTCATCTTAGCTGACTTATGTGGGAGGCACAAGAAAGAAAATCAGTCAAAACCGGGTGGAGACATTGGAGCGAGCTGAATGCTGGCAGGAGATAGACTTGGAAGAGAAAGTTGTTCATTTTACTAAATACTATCAAAACAGACTGAAAATCTCTGAGGATTATAGACAAGCCAGGATGTGGGTCTCTTCCATCTTCCATTCAGAAATCTCTGTGTCAATATGTTAGAAAGGGCATTCATTCATCAGCTGTTGATGGCAGTGTTCCCATTTGGAAGAAAGGAGAAGAAAAACCTTAGCAGGCACTCTATCGGGTGCTGGGGTCTCTACTAAGTGCAGGATAGGCATTACCTCATTGGGAGGTGGTTGGTATCGCATTTCATAAACAAATCATGTGCCTCTGGGCTTGAACAGCGTGGCCTGGGCTCCACAGCTGAGATGTTGTGGCGAGGCAAGGGTTTGAGTCACGACCAGTGTGTTGCTACAGGCTGCTATTCGTGTGGATTGCCAAGCCTTCTGTTCTCTCAAATCTCGGGGCTGTTACTCATGTGCACAGAGGACTGACTAGGAATGCAAGTCAGCTAGCCCTTTAGAATGACCCAGAGTGCTCTGAACTTGAGCATTTGGTTCTGGAGGAAACAATTAGAAATAAAGAGAGGCTCGTCTCTTCCTGGCTCTGAGCTCTTCATCTGGTTGGTAAAAGAAGACAGCACCCAGGGAACAGCCCACAGCATTAGAGTGGCTGAGACTCCACGCCCATTCTGCTGTCCTGGGCTCTCCACTGGGGGAACCTTCCTCTTGGGGGGTTGAGCTGCTGAAGCTAAGCCAAGCCAAGTGCTCCTCCAGCCATGAGATGCACCAGAAGCGGGGTGCTACCCTCATCTTCCTGTACTTCATCTTCTCCCATGTCTTAGGTAGTCTCGGGGAGAACCAGGGACCAACTCCTGTTCTCTGAGATTGTGGCCAGGCTTACCCTGGTGTTTTTAGTCAGAACTTTTTAGGACCTCCTCTCTTGGAGAGAGAAGAAATCCTAATCTGGCTGGGAACGTGCTGTTAACTTCCGGGGTGCCTGGGAGGTGGGAGGGAGGAAGGGGGGCAGGAAGGGGCAGAAGAACTCGTATTTCTGCTTCTAAGTCTCAGAATGGAAGCTCCTGTGCCCTTCTGTGTCCACAGCCTTCGGCGAATCCAATGAGACTAGTACAGGTCCTGATACCTCTGCTAACCCCCAGACTTTCAGGAGGCCTGAACATTCTAAACAATTTCATAACAATACTCAGAAGGTATTTGCCTTTTTCACGGTCATTGCTCTGTGTGTGTGTGTGTGTGTGTGTGTGTGTGTGTGTGTGTGTGTGTGTGACGCTGGGTTTTCCAGAAGCTACTAGATGTGAGCCAGGTCAGTCTGACAGCTCCTGGCACGTGTGCTTGTCTGGAACTGTGCTTTAATTTTCCAGGTTTACCTTGGGGAGGTGAGGGAGGCAGCAGAACGGATTTTTGATTTAAAGTCTGGGAGATGAAAAGGATGAGCTAATTGGTCAGAGGAAGGAAAACAAAGTCTTTCCATTCACCCCTGCCTTCCTGGCCTGGTGCATTGTGGCTTTATCAGCACTGCTTCGGCCTGAGGCAGGTATGCTGGGGATTGGAGAGGGGCTGACACCCCCGGGGGTTGGGCTGGCCTCCGATTCCCCTCGGGTGCTGGGAGCTCTGTGAGGGCTGAGTTGCATCCGGAGGGACTTCCCTGCTGTGTGACTCTAGCAGGGAGCAGCGTCACTTCCTCGACACACTGTCTGAGGGGCACCTCCTGTTACTTTTGTTTGTTTGATCTTTGTTCTTCGCTCCCTCCGAGGTGGTCAAAGGAGGAAAGGGTGAACAGTGGGATGTGGGCTGGCTGCATCTCAGCCCTCAGGGCTGGGGTTAAGGCGTTTGACAAGCTGCCAGGGTAGGCTTGGCGCCTTCTCCCTCCTGGTCAGACGCTTCCACTTTCAGTTGTAAAAGAAAAACCAGGAAGTGGAGTCCCCGAGCACACATGTTCAGGAGCCCGGCCATGGCCTACCGTGGGGCCGGCAGACGGGGCAGAACGGGGCACTCTGAGCTGGGCCATCGGTCTGCATGGATGCTCTGAGGCCTCTCAGTCCCTGGAGGTCACAGGGGTGAGGGAAGAAGAACAGGGACACACGTGCCAGAAGAACTTGGATCAGGAAGCTCCATCGCTGGAATCACTGAGGGATGCGACCCCCCTCCCAGGGTAAGGGGACCGTGTGGAGGGGGGTGTTTAGCAAGGTGTCTTGGGAGCGTGGGGTAGAGGCTGAGAAGGCATTCTGACCCCCAGCTTCAGCGGATCTAGAGCGGGCTGTGTCCCAGGCACGTGTCAGCACTTTCTCTCCCAGGTCTCTAGGGCCCTCCTGTAGACCCTCCTTTTCAGGACGGGGGAGTGGAAGGAGGAATGTGGAGCATGAGGTAGACTTTCTTCCTCTTGCCTCTCTTGGGGAGGTGAACCACAACCGAGACCTGGTTTCTGGGCCTGAGCATCTGCCCTAGCTCCCATGTGGGCTGGGGGTTACCCTCCATTTTCTTGGAGGACTTTGACTCCTTCCTGGGGTAAGGGCTGCTGAATGACTGAGTGATGGAATGGTTCTGAAGGAGCTGGGTCTGTTTAAGGGCAAGGGCCAACAGTTGAATCTCAGATGAACTTAAGGATGTTTAAGGAGCGAGCATTAGGGAGAGACTCCACGGTCGGTGCTTTCTGGCTCCTGTGGGTATCAACCCTTGTGGAGGTTTGAAAAGTAGGATTGAATCAGTGGCTCCAACATGTAGGTGATTGGTGGTCTCTCACAGAGGCAGAGTCTTAGAAATAATTCAATTAAACATATTTAATTTAATGTTAAAAGTAAAAGATGGATTTAGTAAAAAATAGAAATAGAATCATTGGGTTTGCTTGATCACTTTTGCTATATTCCAGCACGGGAGTCATGCTCTGGCGGTTCCCTCTAATTTACAAGGGTTTGAGATGAGCTTAGAATAATCTTGGAAGAGGCATGGCATATAGAATGTGGTTGGTATCACTTGTGTGCTTGGCACAATGAAAGGAACAAAAACCTAAATAAAACAAGAATCACAGATGCTTTTAGGACAGGCAGATCATATAGCCAAGTAAAGTAAATGGTACATAATAAGATGTCTATGGTGAGGACTCTGGCAAAATGCAAGGCAGGCATACCCCTGAAAAACACATTTTAATTTATTTTATTTTCTTTTTTTTTAACAAACATTAACCAGACCAAACAGAATATATTAGCCAGGCATTTGACTTAGATCCTAACCTAAAACAGTAATCTCTCCTAGGCTATATTCTAACCCTTTGAGGACAAAAACACCTACAATAAAATCCATGCATCATTGAGTTCCTAAATGCTAAGTATACAGTGGGGCCACCTGTTCTGCAAGGGAGGCTGGGGGGTCAGGGGAAGGGAGAGCTTCAGAGAATGAATGGACAGAGGGAAGATGAAGCCAGTTAAACACCAGCTCATAGTAGATACACTTACATTTTTTCTTTTTTTTTTTCTTCTTCAATCCTCACCTGTGGACACGTTCATCAATCTTAGAGAGAGAGAGAGAGAAGAAGGGAGAGAGGAAAACATTGATGTGAGAGAAAAACATTAATTGGTTGCCTCCCACCCATGCCCCAACTGGGGATCGAACCTGCAACCCAGGTATGTGCCCCAACAGGGAGTCAAACCCGCAACCCTTTTGGTGCATGGGACAACATTCCAACCAACCAAGCCACCCAGCCAGGGTGATACACTCACATTTAATTAAGACAACCTTTTTTTTTTTTTTTTTTTTTTTTTTAATTAAGACAATCTTATGAGGTGGATGGTTTCACCATTTTATGGTTGAGAGCGTAGGCTCAGAGAGGTATGGCAATTTTCCCAAGGTAACAAAGCAGCCAGTTGTCTAATGCTAACACCATGCTCCATCCACTCATGTGTGGAATTAGCCTTTCTTCGGATTTCCTAAAAATTGTATTTGTGATAAGATTTTCAAATATGGGAACCGGGGCAGGTGTTAAGTTTATATATTTATTAGATATTTTTCAGGTTGACATTTTTCTGGAACTATAATTATTACAGGACCATTCATTGAATATATTATATGGAGCAGTGCTGTCCTGTTTTATGGGGCCTTTCTCATGATATTTAAAATGGTCCTGTGAGGTAGGTACTTTGTTTCATAGGTAGAGAAACTGAGAGTTAGAAAGAAAGAAACTGGACTCAGTGTGCAGAGATTGGAGCTGGACTTTGAACTCTGATGTGTTTAGTTCCAAAGGCAAGCTATGACTCAGTTTCTGAAGAACCTAGTTTAGTGCATGGTCAAAGAATTGGAAACTGGGAGAAACCCTCCTTTGACCATCCTCCCACTTTTTTCAAATCCAGAGAAGCAGAAAGCAGATTGGTGTCTGCCAGGGACTGGGAGGAGAGGAATGGGGAGTAACTGCTAAATGGTTTCAGGGTTTCCTTGGTGGATGACGAAAGTGCTTAGGACCTAGATAGAAGTGATGGTTGGCCAACATGTCAATGCTCTAAGTGCCACTGAATTGTTCATTTTCAAATGGTTAATTTTATGTGAATTGCACCTCAAAGAAGTCCTCCCACCTCCGGGCAGGGGAATTCCCAAACCAGACTTTGGCAATATTTTAGAAACCAGGAGTGACATGTCTGTTCCTGTCTGTCTCAAATGCCCGGCCAGTGATGCACTGACCCTCATTTGGGATTCAGCCTGGGGTGAATCTTGGGTAGCACCTTGCAAGGGCAATGTGTCCCCGGCTGTCCTGAGTTCATCCATCACTGCCCATGTCACACTCTGCTGTAAACTCTGC